CATAATTGATCCTTCTATTCTGACAGGGCTTGAGTGTGGAACATGTATGTAATGAGCTGAGGCACTGGTACCTGCTGAAGAACCTCACGGCAGAGTATGCTGTGTCCATCACCTGTGAGCCATCTTCTTCAGCTAGCAACGAGATTCACGTTAGCATCGTAAGTATGGCTTTCAAAAGGTTTAAATGGATATAACATTACATTTAAAGATGCTCCTGAAGGTCCACCTTTAGCTCTAACACAAGTTTCCAGTTTTCTGGATGACCTTGCTAGTTCGGTTTTTAATTAAGGTTGCAACTAAACTCGTCAGGAAGGTGGACACCCCTTATTTGAAGGAATAGTTTACTCAAAAATTTGAATTGATGTCGTTCCAAACCTGTTTGATTTCTTTCTACTCTGGAACACAAAAGAAGATATTTTGAAAAATGTGTTTTTTCTATTGTCCATACATTGAAAGTCAGTGTGGTCCAGAATTGTTTTGGACCCCACTGACTCCCCCCCCACCCCAATTATTTTAAGGAAAGCAGAATTTGTAGAAAAGAACATTTTTATGATAGTCTTTTTTTTGTGCAGTCCACAGAAGAGGCCAGGTTGGACAGGAGTCCTATTAAAGACATCACGGTTCAAATCATTGACTTGGTGAGCAAGCAAAATGGGAACAGCACCATCATCAAAGCCATCACTGGTGTACGGGTTCACCAGACACAAAGCCCCAAAACTGGTAAGCATCTTTCCATCATACTGGACATTGGGTGCATCCTTGCTGAAAGTAGTCGAAAATCTAAGTATTAAGGTTTCACAGTCGAGGCCAGTCGTGTTGAACTGTCTGTCCTTGGTCTGTCTTGCTTGAGCAATGTTTAACTGTCAAAAGAAGCTTTAAGTCATTGAAGCCATGGAATGTTACATCAGCTCTGCCAGTTGGATGGAACTACAAATAGACATCAGGGCCCTCTTTATGCATGCTGTTCATCAAAAATGGCGTCCGATGTTTCTGCCAAGCTGCTTAGTCTCTTCTTCACTTAAGAAACCTTTACAACATGTGTGCCAGCCTCTGTAGATTGGGCCAGGGGACCCGGTATGAACAGGGTATGTCTTGTCCAAAACAGGAAAATTTTGCTGTTAAGTTGATGTGCGGATTATTTTTTCCCTACAGCACTTCTGTATAACTCCAAGATTTTCCAATTTCCAATGCACAAATATTCACCAGTAAATAGGAATAAAACGTGCAAGAGCTCTTCCAGCAGTTTCCATTGTAATGTATGAACAGGTCAATGAGGACATTTTTTTTTTTTTTTTTGCAAGAAAAATGGAGTGTACTACATTTGATAGCGTGCTTGAATGCAGGCGGTCGATACATGCACTAAAGAAAGTTTCATTTTTGTCAAGTGTTTGCTATATTTCTCCGTAAGTTATGGCTGATAAAAACGTCTTTGTATTCTTTTAAACTAAAGTTTGCATCGATCTCATAACCCCCTTCCACAAGCGCTCGTCAATGTGGGCGCTTGTCGAGTTTGCAGTCTCCAGTATTTTGTTGTTCCGTCTCTTTAGTTTAGTTTTCGAGACGAGTGCACGTACTATTCTGGTGCCGAAATTTGCGTCATGCGGGCTCTTGTTTACTTTGGGCATTAATGGTTACACCACTTGACATTTTTTGGCATTACATTTGATTTTCATTAAACAAACGTTTTTCAAAACCAAAAGAAACCTACATGAATACATTTCTAAAAACTATATTTTAAAAAGATGAGTCATTCTCCTGAACACCGACTAACTGTCCCTCTGGTTCTTCTTCTTCTTCTCCAGACTACCTGGTTCCTCTGCTCAGCTCCATCTTCATCGTGCTCTGGATCCTCGCCTTGGCCTCGGCCTTCATGTGGTGCATTCACCGTCGACGGAAACAGAACACCCACGGCAACACAACTACCTCAGCAACAGAGGACAATACCACCAATAATGTGCGCGAGCAGCTCAACCAAATCAAAAACCCCATCGAGAAACATGCGGCCCATGGCGTGGCCATAAAAGATTACGAGGGGAAGAACTCCATCATTGCCAAAATTAGGACGCATAACTCTGAGGTGGAGGAAGAGGAGATGGACAAACACCTGCAGAAAGCGCGCTTCACTAAGCAGCCGGCCTACACGCTGGTGGAGCGGGAGGAGCGCGCGCCCAACAAAAACCCAAACTGGACTAACAAACAGGACAACAGAGACTTGGAGACGGCACAAAGCTTAAACAGGATGGAGTATATCGTATAGCAGGCAGCTGTGTTGCCTTGCGACCGAACCCCTGTTGCACTTACCGGTCACTTGGCAGGGTCTCGGGGGGGAGGGTTGTGCTTCTTAGAACTGTTGAGTCGTGTTCTGGACTCCAAGGCTGTTATTTGCCTAGAATCCTGTGTTAATTTAAGTTTCGACAAGCTGGCTTCACACTGGCAATTGACAGTTGCTGTGGATGGCTAGAAAACCCAAAATGCTGCGTTTCACATCCAGTGTTTTCCTTTGTAAAAGAGAGAAGAAAAAAAAAAGAAAAAAAAGAAAACGTACACATTTCAAATGTCTATATTTTTGTGGATACGTTTGAGTATCTCAATGAGTCTGAAAAGTTTGCATAGTGTTTGCAAAGAGTTTTAAGTGTTATTTTCGTTCATAATGACAATGCTCTCACAGCTAAAGTAGTTGTTTCTTCCTTATCCAGCAGCTGTGTGGAAACTCTCTCTAGTTGGTTTTATTTCTAGTTCTGAACTGAAAGTGCCTTCACAGCTACGCACCACAGCAATTGTCGGAAATGAGTATAAAAAGAAAAAGAAAAAAAAGAGCAAAACAATTATTTATTTTTCCTTTCTTTGGGCGGGATAGGTCGGTCAGCATTTTGCTGCCAATATGAAGAATTGTCAATTTAGTGTAGATATGTATATTTTTTTTAATTAATCACTGTGTATATTTGATTTATTAACTTAATAATCAAGAGCCTTAAAATATCATTCCTTTTTATTTATATGTCCTGTCTAGTTTTGAAGGTATTGATAGCTTTGTCAGCCTATAGCTTTGTTCGGACGACATTTGTTTCATGTTTCACATACCAAAATTTCAAAGAGGAAATAAAGCAGTCTATTTTTTAAGAAACAAGACGGGCGTTTGTGTGCCTGAGGTGTTTTTTTCTTTTTCTTTTATACATTGTCAGATATTTCAATATTTGTATTTTGCCAACTCGCACTTGCTCAATGCAGGTAATGTCATCATCATGGCTGCTTTTTGTTTGGATACTTGGTGGCAGACACATTGCTTGCCACGGATGGAAAAGAAAAAAAATAAATCATTAAAAACATAAAAAATAAAAGGGAACACGAGTCTTTTAGTTGCTTGTTGGTAAACCTGATTCACACAAATCATTTCTCCTCAGCTTCGGTTTGCAGTATGTCATAAGCTAGGCTGTGAATACTTGAACAGTAGGGGGCCAATGGAAACACTGTAGATGACTGCCTTGCTTTCAGGAGTCCATTTCTATTGCTGTGCAAATGTAGTGTTCTTTTCGTAGTTCTTTTATATTGAGGCTCTCTAAAACACCAAACCGACATGCTTATCACATTTGTAAATTCTATGAGATCATGGCAATATTCAATGTTCATATTTGACCTTATTGTAAATTTGTCTTTGTTTCTTTTTTAGTTTGTTCCTGGCAATATTTTTTGAATGTTATATTTATTAAACATTTTGTATAAAAGGAAAATTAAATGTTTGTTTTTCGATTTGTGCTCTATTGTGCTGCTTTGGGAGAAGCTGAATCCTCTCTTGCGCTGATGTAATATTACGTGAGGCACAAGCTCCGTTTAAATGGTATAGCTGTGCAGATTGTACTCGGTACCATGCGAAGACTGAAAAACCTTCCCCACGTGATGAATGAGGTATTCAGAAAAATAACTGCAGGGCAAAAGGCAAAGCTTCTGGTGATGAGCAAATGAAAGGGGTTTCCCAATGTTTTTCAGTCATGAATCATGTAAATTCTGTCATCATTTACTCGACATTTTGAGGAATTAGGTTGCTGTTTTTTCAAGCACAATGAATGGGGACTGGAGGTTTCAAGGTGCAAAAAGAACACAAAGGCATCGTAAAAATGCTCCATACAATCTTGAAATCCACTCAAGCTCTCCTTGACATGAGTGAAGAGTAACAAGTCCAATTTGTGAATGATATATTCTTGAGTGATTCATTTTATAAAACCTCTCTGAATGATTTATTAATCAGATTAAGATAAACTCGCTGACTCGATTCATTCGCAACAGAGGATAACCAGTGAAAAACAACTTAAACATGTCTGTTTCTCACACAAAGGCTTCATAAAGCTTCTGAACACTTTGAATATAAAGCACAAGTCACGTTGATGGTAAATGTATGGTCCTTTGAATGGCGACTGATGCTTTCAAGCTTCAAAAATTACACATTGCAAGTGCATCGAAATGGCTGCCTAACACAGCTTCCAGAATTTCCCATTGTGTTCCACATAGGAAAGTTAGTTGAATGGGTTGGTGACAAATTCACCCCATCTAGTTTGTAAATGCATGTTATTAATCTTATTCTGAACCTATCTATGTGCTCTTCATTTTTAACAAAAAAATATGTTTACTCAAAATGTCAATTTAAACCCAACTGATCTCAAAATCTAATCAACAACTGATAAATAGAAGTTCCCAGCCTACTTTTTTTTCAATCATTCATTCCCTCTGATGTACATCACAATACATAACATAATAAAATATCTGTTGCTACTTGTTACATCGCGACTTTAAGCTTAAATTTGCTCACTGTTAATCTCCAATGTTATGTCATTCTGAGGATTACATAATTCAACGTAAAAAAAATCCTAATTGTTTATCTATTAATGTTAAAGTAAAATATGAGTTAAAATTGCAAGGCAGTATAATAGATTGCATGAACAGTGATGATTTCAGTTTTTAGTATTTCTTGGACATTTAGTTCACAAGTATCTCAATAGGAACATTGTTTGATTAAGAATTTAATGATTCGAATAGCATCACAGAAATCAAAATATACAGTAAAATGACTTTAAAATGTGTTCTAACTCTAAACCAGAAGCATTTTGACTGTAATGTTATGGCATTATAACAGCACAATGTTTGTATATTCTGATACAATTTGTATGACACAAATCTATTATACTAAAGGCATAAACATCAAGTGATTTGTAAGCATGAGAATGCGACTCGAATTTATGTCCATACATATATTTATCCTGCCATCACGCACTACATCAATGTCGACTGCACCCCCGATTAGCCAAATTTCGGCCACGAGCTGCACTACAGCGTTCCATAACGTTGTCAGTCATCCCACAGCAGACTTTTAGCTGTTATGAAAAGCAATAACACATTTACAAATAATAACCGCAGGGAGACGGCAGTCGGCTCCAACGGTGAAAACCCCTGATCGCTTAAGGAGCGTGGTGTATGTGAAAACACAGCGAAATCAATCATGTGCTCAGCTGAAGCTGGAAGAGTGGAGATTTCAGACGGATGGAGCCAGAGATTTGGGCTTGAAGCCACAGTGTGCTCGGAGGCTCCCGTTAGTCTGAAATACAAATCTTACGCAGAAAACGCAAACTACAACGCGTAACCAAAAGCAAAGTTATTGTTTGCATGAGTCGCTTTTAAGCTGTTACTAATGAAGCCAAATATTTGAGAGGTTCCTGGTAATCTAATATAAGCTATTGAGTTTTTTTACTTTGAAGGCAAAAGGGAAATACTGTAAAGACTGTGTGTGGTGAACTCTTGTGCAACCGCCGCTGACAGACAGCATTACGGTAGAAGTGTGTACTGTAACATCCATCGTGGTGGCGTCAGATATCCTCTCTCGTTCTATGCCGCTGCGCCCCTCAGGACTTCTTGAGCCGGCGTAATCGGGATGTTCTGGGCTCGCCCCCCTTCCTTCCCTCTCTGGCGGCCAATCTGGAACTAATAGAAGAGCCAGAGGATACGGGCTTGACGGATAGGCCTCTCAGACTTGTGGCCAGCCCGCTTTGGTTAGTCTGTGAAATCTCAGGCTGGGGACTGCAAACGTCTCGAGAGAGCTTGTTGGAATCGCTCAATGCTGCAGGGTCTCCAAGACGCAATCTTTTTGGCTTTTGGCGGTCAACATCCTCTCCTGAGCCGCTTGGGGTTCGTGGTCGTCTCTTCGGACCGGTAGCATCAAGATGCGGTTCAGTTGCCTCTTTATCGTTACTTAATTTAGACGACAACACAACTTTCCCTTCCTCCAATGACTCATCAGTGAACAATACCAGGACAGGATGACACGTTTCGGAAGAACCCTTTTGTGCTTCATCCACTTGCAATTGGTCTGATCTGGACTCTTGGTTATCTTGGCGTTGTCGGGGTTGGACGTTAGCCTGCCTGGCACTGGAAGAATGAGGATATCTTAAATGAAGATAAGGATAGATCATCACAAGCTATATAAGAACTTACATCTTCTGAAGGACAGCTCTTTTTGTTGCGGTGGAGTTGGGTAATGGATCTATGGTGTCGCCAGAGCTAGAAAAATACTTCGATCGGCTTTGTTCACTCTGTTCAGACAAAAAAAAAAAAACAGAGAGAGATTAATTAAATTCAAGATGGCGGACAAAAAAAGAGAATTGTTGATTATAAATCAGCTTATATCCAGTCATTTATTGTTTAGTTTCAGTTAGAATGCTGTCTGAGCTACTCTCTCAACACTTGACAGAAACTATGAAGTACATTGTTTACTTCTTGTTTTTCCATTGCACTGACATGAATGAACTATTTGGATATTTGGTGTAGCCATGGGAACGAATCCATGAAATTTTTTGTTTTGATCGCCATACCCAAGAGACCAAGCAAAAAGCTTGTGTTCAACTGCCAGAATTCAGAGAAAGCTCTCTTTTTTCCTTTTCTCTGGCTCAAATGTCTGATCATGTTCAGCAAAATATAAAAATGTGTGTGGCTGTGCGTTTAAGGGAAACAAACTTGTACATGTTGTATATTATATTTGTGTTAATATTAAGCATGTCAAAACAAGTACCAATATGGTTAAATGTGTATACACAGACAAATATGTATATATACTTATACCGATTTGAGACTTTATCTGAAGTCAAGACATCATAATTAGACACGTTGAGCTAAACATAAATTTTTAAATAACTAAATCAAATTTAATTTCCAGAATAATATTCCCATTGTCTTTGGTGTGTGGGTGTGTGTTTATCAGGACCTGGCTTGACCACCTGAATAGTTTAAACACTTTGAAGTCCTTGTTTTAGTACTAGCCATGCTTAACTAGGCAGCTCTGAGAAGAATAAAGAGACGAGGCAGCTTATTGAATCCCACCAACATACACCTTCAACAGTCCTAATGAAGCTCTATCAACAGAACAATCCTTGACTGAGCAAGAACAGAGCGGGTGTTTGTGGCCGCCGTCTTTAGGGGCACAGGATCATTGAACTGCGATTAACCAACACAAAACAATCATTCCAGTCCAAACTGATTGGATTTCATAAAAGTGTAGGTTTACCAACCAGCCTCTGAACAGGTTCAAGATATATAGGCTATTAGTTCTATTTTAGGAGCAAACGGCCAGATAAGCACAAGGTCCGTCAAGTCATTAGAGCGAAATGTGGAAATTGCAGAGGGATGCGTTTCATATGAAGTGCAGACGCTGGCCTAAAGAAGGGGCCTCTATATACCCATATATAATGCCTTGTTTTATAAAGAGGGTTGGTGTGGCCTAGTGGATAATGGTATGGAATGGTAACCAAAAGGTTGTAGGTTTGAACCCTATAGTGCATGCAATGGTGAAGTCAACAGTACAATACAATCAAAAAGAAAGCATCAAAGATAAATGAAAACAGGGACGACAGACTGACTTGTTATCATATTGCTCGTCTTTGAGCCGAGGCGTAGTGAGCAAGTCATGCTGAATAAGTTTTGAAACACACAAGGAAGGTCCACCTACTGCATGCTGCAGCATGTGATTGTGGTGCAACCTCAATCATGTGCTTTTTTGTTTAATATAATGAAGACAAAATATTACAAAATCTCACAAGATAAGTTCTTGGTGCAAGCTAAATCTTAATTTACAGTATTTGTATTGCTGTATCTCAAACAGTATAGTATGGTGCTAGCAACCAATAGGTTCGCAAAAAAAAAATTTGCGATTTGGTTCACGCATTTCCACTTTTTTTCACGCGTCTTCTAATTGAATAAAACATTTATCCACCTCAAGCGAGTGTATATATTTTTTGTGCATTTTGCACATTTGCATCAGTATTTGCAATAAAAAAGTATTTGCATCGTTTAAATCAGCATTTTTAATGTGACATTCTAAAATTCACACTTAGAGACAGCGATATGACCAAAATATATCACAATAAGAGTCATTTCATTTCAAAATTATGATATCATTATGTTGTTATTTTTGTTAGAAATAAGGTACTTACAATGGCAAAAACAATGGCAGCACGCAAGTACAGAATCAAGTTCTCTTTCGTGCACTTCATCTCTTCAAACTTTAAACTGGCACATGCACAGGATACATTTTTGTGATAATGCAACACTGCAACCTGACATGAGCATAATTGCCAAAAGCCAAAAACAACGTGCACTTACCAAATTTAGTTCTCTTTTGTGTCTTATCAGGCTTAAACTATTTAAAATCGCTTGGAACATAAAACAAGTGCCCCTATTATGCTTTTTCAGATATTACATTTAATGCAGTGTGTAATATAGCTGTTTGTGAATGTAAAAGGTCTGCAAAGTTTGCCAAAATGTGTCATCAGTAATTCCAGTCTTACTTTCGTAACTTACATACGTAACGATGTAACTAATTTGCATAATGCCTACGGTCTTCATTGGCTGCAAACAAACAACATCTACTTTGGCCCGTTCTCAAACACTGAAACACTGGTTCGTGTTGTGTCCATTTTGAGAAGATCTGGCCAATTAGACCTCCAAAACAAAATTAGGAACCTTTAAAATAGCACATTAGGGGCCAGTGTTGGAAAAGTTACTTTGAAAATGTAATAGGCTACATATTACAAGTTATCCTATTTAAATAGTAATAAGTACGGTACTGTAACCATTACTTTTCTAAATCTCTAACGAATGTTTTCAACTGTTAATCATTTTCAAACATTTAAACCAGGCAGGGTAAACCTTACAGTATACTCGACACTGAATACTGTCAGACTTTCAAAATCCTTCATCACATGAATTAAGATTATAATAATTTAATTTACTTTTTTCTTTGAGATCATTCTGCGGTCAAATACAGATTTCTGGATGAAATGAAATTTTTACATTTCCAGCACTTCAGGCAGGTTGTATACAAAAGCTTTCAGAGGCAATGTGGATTGATGTAATTGGCAGAATTGGTGCGCTGCAAATTCAAACAAAAGAGCCAATCAAAGGCATCAGAAGAGCATCGCTTTACTAAACAGCCTTTAAATGGCAGAAGGCATCGCGCACATCAAAAACAGGCGAAGCAATAAATTATTATTATTCAACAGATCCTAGCTTTTTACAGAAAATATTCAGATGTAACCCACTTTGTAATCGTTAAACATTTTCATAAGTAATTAATTTAATTACTCATTTTTTCACAGTAACTGTAACGGATTACAGTTACATTTATTTAGTAATTAAATTACGTAACTCTGTTACATGTAACTATTTACTCCTCAACACTGATAGGGGCACTTTAAACTGGAAAATAAAAATTGCACTCTCACGTGAGCGTAACCGTGATAGAGACATTAATACAACAATTATACCGGTTGTCAAGTTTCTACCGGCTCATCATGTCTAGTGGTGTATCACCCACCCCTAAAATGGAATGGAAACCCAGCCACAGACCGAAAGGCCCAACTCAGTTAAAGCTCTGTTCCAACACGCTGTTTGAAAGAAACAGGCTCAGCAGGATTGCACATTGCTGCTTGACTCTAAATGGGCTGATCAATAGCTAGTAGGAAGGTTCATTTTAAGGTGCAGGGAAGGGTAATGCATGTGAAGATCTGAGAACACAAAGTCTATCAGAGCCCTAGAGATTCTCTGCAGTGTGTGTTCACTGTTCACCCACAGAGACAAGTATTCATAGGAAATCATGTTGTAACATGGGCCACTAATGTTTAAAAACAATTCATTTCCAAAGTCAGAGCGATCAAGCTGCGGTCCATGAACACTGTCTGTCGAACTCTCTTACACACATACAGAAACTCCCCCCCATTTACCACGTCCTTCAGCCCACTGCAACCAAGACTGGATGGTTTTTAGGGGGATATCCAGACACACAAGCGCACAGAAACACACCCATACTCACTAACGATAAGTCCACTGAAAATAAACACACCCAGTGAGCGTGAACGGTAACAGCGGACACACACGCTTGACAAAAACATGGAGGACAGGGGAGGAAGAACATTTGAATTTCAATGCCTTCATATGCATTTTACAAACCTTTGGAAAATAGATGAAAGAGACAACAACAATGGAGCAGTGTTTCTTTCCCTGAGAAACACCCAAGGAGCAACTCTCTCATGTACTCCGCTGGCCTTCAAAGAACAGGGGAAAGTGAAAGAGCGATAAGAAAAGAAATTTTGGTCAGAAAGTTAGTGGAGTGATTTGTTAGCTGAATAAGGAACTAAGAGCAGTCAATGTGTCTATGGAAACAAGGAATATAGTATCTACGAAAAAAGTGCAGAAATTTAATGCAGTTTCACTACCGTTCAAAAGTGTGGGGTTATGCAATAATTATATATTATATGCTATACAATAATTAATGTAAAATGTAAAAATGTGACAAGAAATGTATAATATTAAAAAAATATTATTTAAAAAATATATATTCTTTTGTTCTTTTTATCTTTATATTCATCAAAGAATCCTAAAAAATGATTGTTACATTTTTTTAATATTTTTTAATTAAAATATGTATTAGACCTGCCTGAGGAAAGTCTGTTGTCCGAAATGTTGCATATTAAAGCCATTAAGTGATTCAGCAAGTTTGAGATGTGTGCAAGATTGTTTCATTTTTTTTTTTTTTTTTTTTTGGTTAACATTGATTCATTACTTTTAGTTAACAAAATGTTACTTGAGCACCAAATCAGCATATTAGAAAAATGTCTGGATCATGTGATGCTAAAGACTGGAGTAATGATGCTGAAAATTCAGCTTTGCCATCACAGGAATAAATTACATTTCAAAATATATTAAAATAGAAAACGTTTCTTTTAAATTAAATATTTACATGAAATATTTTCTCATAAATTATTTTCGGGGCACAGTGTCATGACCTCTACAGTTACAAAAGCCATGACCATTGCATATAAACACTTAGCTAAAAGTGAAACAAATTCAAGCAGAATCCAGTAAGGAGGACTGCAGCCCACATACACTTGATATAAACACTTAAAAATAGCATCTATTTGTCTTTACACTAAATGATTGTTGAAAATGTAAGCTAAAGTGTCTTCTATCAACGACAAGTCATTTTTTAAAAGGAAATGAGTCAGTCTTCACAAACTCATTCACCCTTCACATTTCCATAAGC